TCAACCGAGAGCTTTTGGGAAAGGCTGCACAACAGGAAAAGATCGATAAACGATTCACAAAAAACAGCTCATCTTCAGTCATCTCGGTGAATGCAAGTACAGAAACTAGTCTAACTTAGAAACTGATACTCTTCATCATAACTGGGACGTATTTTTAAGTCATGTCAGAGGAGAAAGATACCCTGTTTAATGTGTTTTCATGCATTTTCTTGTAAATACACGTCATTTTTTTGTGAGAAAATTCCTCATTTTTAGAACTGGTTGACTGAAGGTCACTCGTGCGTTGGCATCCCTTGGGACGCTATTGTTGAACTTTGCCCATACCTTCCCCCTCACTGGCGTCTTGTAATTGTCATAATTTTTGATCTGACGAGAGTGTTTTCTTTCACAGACCCAGAGATACTGCCCCAGTTGCTGAGTATGAAAAAAATGTATTCAAGGGGATACATTGTACCAGTTAGGGGACTCTACTGGAATTCCCCAATGCGTGTAATAAGTTCATGAACGGTTGTCATCTGAAGTGACAGTAACCACTGGTATCTATTAGAGATCGTGATTAAAATAAAGAGGTAAAGTCAGTCAAATTTGGAGTCTCATGGATCATCTTGCTACCCGAAAAGAGTCTTTTCAACCTAGACTACACAAATAATACTGTCATTTAAGATCAAGACGCTGACTGAATATGTAGTTTTCTGCATACCTGTGTTTCAGATGTGAATCGCCTCCATCAAACGTAAATCGATGCTTCAAGACAAGGTAAAACAGCTGATTATCTTGACCACTTCAGTGACCAAGGACTAGATTCTGTCCAGGAAAATAACGCAGTCCTTTTGACTGTCTCCACTCCTATCTACCTGTCAATCCATCATTCCCATTCTAAGAAAATTCACCTCAGTGTGTTTCCCTCAATACTTTTATATTCACTTTTCCGAATGTGATGATAATTTCGACACGTCTAAGGTCGATCAATTCAGTAAGTGATTTAACGTGTTCATCATTCATCAGTTGACCGAAGTAATATATCAGTTGTTGTGTTCTTCGGCATGTGTGATGAATAACAGCTGATACATAACCTCTGATATCGATTGCTTCCTTCTGTGGATTTTATGAATGCTTAAGGTGGAATGAAAAGGCAATAAAGAACCAAAGGACCTTAAACAAGCTCACCAAAACTGGACAGATCACAAAACAAGACCAATGGCGAATGAAATCCAATGGACCAGTCCTACCCCGATTCTACGGCAGACCCAAAATACACAAGGCAAATATCCCATTACGACCAATTGTATCACTCCCAGGAACTCCAACATATAATTTATCCAAAGAATTATACAGAAAACTAAAACACCTAACGGAATCTTGCGATCACTCCATCAACTCTGCTATCCAATTCCTAGAGAAAATCAGAGGCATCCAAATAGATGAACAAGAAATAATGGTATCATTCGACGTGACAGCATTATATACATCCATCGGACAAAACCTAGCAAAAGAAACCATGGAGCAATTACTTAGCAACGACGAACAACTGCCACAACAATCAAAAATGCAACACACAAGCTGGATGGAATGCATAAATCTATGCCTAACAACATACTTCCAATTCAACGGCCAAATATATGAACAAGTCAAAGGAACACCCATGGGATCGCCAATATCAGGTTTGATTGCAGAAGCAGTGATGCAAAGACTCGAAAATATAATTCTACCAAAGATCAAACCCAAGATTTGGATACGCTACGTCGACGACACATTTGTAATAATCAAAAGAAACGAATTAGATAAAACTCACAACTTAATAAACAACGTCTTCAACGACATCAAATTCACAAGAGAAGAGGAATCCGAGAACAAAATACCATTTTTGGACGTCTTAGTCAGGCGAACAACTACAGGAGAATTAGAAACTCAAGTTTATAGGAAATCAACTCACACAGACCAAATACTGAATTACAACAGCAACAACCCAATAACACACAAAAGGAATTGCATACAAACACTATTCAAGAGAGCAAGGACTCACTGCAGCACTCCCACCTTAAGAAAAATTGAAGAAAAGTATCTCATGGACGTCTTCCAAAAGAATGGATATCCACGGAATTTCATCAAGAGACATATACCCCCAAGCCAACCTACCAAAGCAAAAGCCACCAAAGAGAACACAAAGAAAATTGCCTTACCATATATAAAAGATATCTCAGAAATCACTACAAGACTCTTCAAACCTTTAGGAATTGACGTCGTACACAAACCAACAAAGTCGCTGCACTCAATTCTATGTCAACCAAAAGACTCAACAGCGAAAGAAGACAAAACCAACATCATCTACAAAATAAACTGTAACAACTGCGAAAAACACTACATCGGCCAAAGTGGACGTCCCCTTCGTCTTCGTATCCACGAACATAAGCTAGCCGTCAAAAGACATGATATCCACTCCCTCATTTCACTACACACAGACAACTACGGACATCAATTCGACTGGGACAACGTTCAAATATTAGACAAAGGAAATAACAAGAATGCTAGAGAATTTTTAGAAGCTTGGCATTCCAGTGGATCATCAATCAATAGACACATCGACATAGACAAAATTTATCAACCAATAAGAAAGAAACTTCACAGACAAAGGGTCAAAATTCAAGTCAAAGAAACAACCGGTTCCAATACAAGTAACCTAGAAGGTGTGAAAACACACACAAACAACCAATCACGTCCAAGGTCACCAGGAGAGATGATTAATAAACTCGTGGAGAAATCTAAAAGCTCACTTCAAATTGAAGTATGCGCTGAAGATGTCACCCAGTAAGGTGATGAAAGCTTCGCAAACTAACCATCCAGCTCAGAGAACAAAACCACATCAAAAAAGAACACTAAAGAGTCGAATCCATAATGTGGAATTCAGTGTGAGCAGATCTGCAATACTCATCACAAGGAACAAAAAGGTACGGATTAATAACACTAATGTCAGGTCGATCAGTGCTTCTATATGGTTCACAGACTTGGTGCATACGTCATCAAAAACATTTTTCCAACAAACTATTGTTGATATAAGTATAAAACTTGGGCACTGTGGTGGTAGAATATAACTCCATTATAGATAGATAAGATTTTATTTTAATAAACTTTCACACTGTTGTTATACAGTGATATTAGCTGATGACTACATCTTGAGCACAAATTATTGACACTCATAATCATATCAAGCTGCTCACTCACACAACCTTCTTGCTTCATTTATATACATGAGTGAAACTGATGATTAGACATTTGATTGAATAAAAATCAATATGGGATAATGTACATTCAGAAATAATAATAATAATATGAGTGTTAAGTGTCTAACAAACCGAGCAATAACACTAAGTATCACAAAAAAGACCTAAACGATGAAATGAAACAGATGGAAGAGGCCCTTGTGTTAAATAACTATCCTGTAAAATTCATTACGTAGATCAAAAAGCTCAAAAGCAAAATGAAAATAATGGTGAAACTTATAATGATAACATAGATGAGAGAGAATATAAGGCGTCTACATTTATACCATATAAGGAGAGAGGGGACATCTGACACCTTCCCCCATAGGATTCTCAATAAAGCAGGAATTAAGGTGATCACATTCAAACCTACAAACTCACTCATATAGGACAAGCTCGGCAGACCAAAAGACCCGTGGAACCAAATTAAACAAAATAATATAAATTACAAAATACCTCGCAATGACTGTGAGTTAAGTCAATTGTATAGGTCACACTAGGAGATCAGGAGTAGTCAGATTATCAGAACATAAGAATTTAGCTAAGATAAGAATGGTTGACTTCGCGAGGATAAGTAATTTAGAGAAAAAAGCTCAACGATTGCACTGCATACATTAACAAACAACCACACTATAGGGGGGGTTGGACAGAGTCAAAATTCTAAAATGTAATATAGGTCGGTGGAGAGAGAGAGAGATTGATTACTGGATCCTGGTTCATCGAGTCTACACCCAACACAACACATGCAATAGCAGTGACTCAACGCAAATATCAGAGATATGAAAGATATTATTACCACCAATCAGTCAAATCAGAGGGGGATAATAAATAATCTTAAAATTCTACTTCAATTCAAACACATCACAACATTCGTCTTACTTCCCATCTGATTCTATTACATCAATAACACTCATATTATTATTATTATTTCTGAATGTACATTATCTCATATTGATTTTTATTCAATCGAATGTCCAATTATCAATTTCACTCATGTATATAAATGAAGGAAGAAAGTTGTGTGATTGAGTGACTTGATATGATTATGCGTGTCAATAATTTGTGCTTGAAATGTGGTCATCAGTTAATATTACTGTAAAACACTGTGAAAGTTTATCAAAAGAAAATCTTATCCATAGTGGAGTTAGACTACTGTAGACATTCATCAACACCTACCCGATTTCGCTGCATCGATACACAAAATCAGATGGCTAGCTGACTGGTTGACCGAAAAGCATAAGCAACAAGTATCTTTGGTAGGCAGAGAGAGAATGCATTGTCCGACAAATATGTGTAGGAGGAAATGGACTCACACTAGATAGTTGTGTCATACCCAAGCCCATTGATGGGAAGCTACAATTTAAGTGTGGTTTTGCTCAAAGTGTGACTGGAGAAGATCATGGCATCTCAGTGGGAAAAAGGAGCTTCTGGGCAGTCGTGAAGCCAGTTGGAAGTAGCGTCAGAGAACTTAGTGGAATGCGAAATCTACTGCTTCTGACAGGCTACGTCTCACTCGGAAGACAGAGGAACATTACTACTACTACTACTACTAATAATAATAATAATAATAATAATAAAAGTAAACATTTTGAAATTCGTTAACGTTTTATTTTACACTAAAATTGAATGTAAATTATTATATTAAACTTGACGTTCCATCGCAGCTATAAACAATGCTTCCACATAAAATAGTTGTTGTTGCATAACAACAGAGATAAGTAATTTCTAGTGTAAGCCATTGTTTTAACAGAATCCAGCATTCTATAAAGATAAAAAACAAAAAGAAATGAGGCATGACAGGATCACATAATTTGTCAGGATACTTAAAATATTACTGATTTTAGGATAAATATGTATATATATATTATTACTCCACGATCTTTTCTTGAGCATCGTAGAATGACAATAGAAAATGAAACTGAGTATTTTCGAGGAGAAATAGATAATGAGTACTAATCTAATCTAGGTAGTGAATGTCTGTCTGTTGAAGAGACCCCAGAAATTGAAGCTTCAAATTGAATGACTTTCATTCGGTGAAAATTTAGTCGACAAAAGTGCTTTTTATGAATTGTTGGTTTGCAGGAATTTGATCACTTACAGGATTGATCACGATCTGAACACCAGTGGATGCGTACTGTCAAAGAGTCATTTGAAAACTAGGACTAAACAGCTGTCCGATAACTCTCCTCCCGCCCCACTGGTTTTCCAATGGTTCTCTAGCTGATATCAACTCCCAGTCAATGCTGAAGATGCTTTTTGATGTCATTAAATGTGAGTATGTGTGATTTTAGAGAAGTTAGAAATCGTATGTCTTTGGATTCCATCCTGTTGGCCGAATCATAGAGGGATGGACATTGTTATCTAAATGTTCTCAGTTCGATCCCAGATGGAGTCTTTGATGTGATCTCATCATCAGTCAGCACCAACTAGGATAAAAACAGATGTCTAGAGCTGTCTGATCTCCAAACGATTTCATTTTTAGATGAGATCTCCACAAGAAATATTCTTATCAGTGCTACTTCACTATGAGGCGAATTTATTTAGCCATGAATAAAGTTGATGGATGCTGGATGCTTGCTAGTCATGTGAGAGATTCAAGTTCAGCTTCTAGCCGATGAACTTCTAAATTTCGCCTTGCTTACTAGCTGGCATCAAAAATAGAAAAGATAGGAGGTAGGGTTTGAGGTGCTACTGAAACTTCAAAGCTCAAGGCTTGAAGTCCTATGTTCAATTTGGGATGCTAAGACAGGGTGAAATATACCACACCATACTGTCAATCAAAAAGTAAGATGAGAACAAATTTCAATATGACAGTTATTTTAGCCTAGCAGCCTGTCTAGTAATAGTCAGTTTTCTGAAGTCCGACGCAACTGGTTCCAGCTTTGTGAATGAGTGGGAATATCCTAACTTACTAGGGTGTTGAGATGTTCTGTCCTGAGGTAGGTCCAGAAGAATATGAAACATGCATTACTGTTATGGGTTTAAGGAAATTTTTCATTTCATTTTAATTGATTATGTTGGGTTAAAATGTTCTGCTTTTGTTGACATGTTCAATCCAAGTATGGACACTCTGATGACATATGAAGGCTATTATATTATTATTGTTGTTTCTTTTAGTTCCTAGAGGAACATAAGGCTTCAGCCACACACGTCTTGATTGCGTTCGGTTATCTGCCAATGTTTCCCCTAGCCTAACGTTTGCCTACATGCTTTAATCTCCTCTTCATATGACCTCCTCCAGGTCACTCCACTCTCGCACTAACGACCAACTATCTCACCGCTTCCCATTCAGGCTCCATTTGAGCTATGGCCTGGCATTTTATATCACTTGGTAGTTTGCTTTCTCAGAGCATGGCCAATCCACCTACCTCCACTTCTTCCTGCAGATTTGTTGCACAATCGGTTCTTGTTGGGCTGGTTCGTTCGCTGCCAGAGATCCCTTCCTGCTCCTAATCTTATCTGACCGGCCATCTGATCTTGAGTAGCACTGAGCAAAGATGGCTGTTGATGAGGGTCTGTAGTTTGTTCGAATCGCACATCGTGACGCGGCGCCAAGTATCTGACCGATATAGTAAGCAGCACTGACTTAACATTATTATTATTGTTACCTTAGATTCCTAGTGGAACATACGGCTTCAACTGCACGTCTCCTATTTATGCTGATTGTTGTCTGTTGTTGTTGCTGTGTCTGTGTGAGTCCATTTTATGCCTGTCTCCTAAATGCCCGCTGTCTGTCTGTCGCATGATCCAGGCCACCGAAATCAGAAAAATCATTGAAGATAGTAGGCAGTCAGCCAGCCAGCCAGCCGGCCTTGTCTTACTCCCGTCATCACTTTGAAGGATTTCGCGAGTTTCCCGTTGTGGATTACTTGGGATGCAGCATTGTCGTACAACTGTTGGATGAAATGTATAATTGTTGGCGGTACCCCATAGTAGTGAAGTCGTTTCCAAGCCTCCTTTCGATCGACGCTGAAATCCAGGTTTGTGTAAAGTTACTTTTTAGATGCAAGTAATGTTTCATCTCTCTCTCTCTCAACTATTGGTATGATACTGTTGTCACTGAATCTCGGTGGGTGTCCATTTTGAATCGAGATTTCTTTCAGAAGGTCCAATTGTCCTTCCGGGGTGTCAGGGCTAAGGATGTGTTGGATTCGATAGGCAAGGGATTTAATTAATTGATCGTTATATAAAGACCTTCCTATGGACTGAACTTTCTAAGGATCCATTGAGTTTGTTTTTTAGTTTCACATGCGGAAAAGAGATTTTGGATTCGATTTCCGCCTTTATTTCACTAGTCTATTTACAACCAAGATGAATGTCAAAACCAGTGCTGCAAAATGACCAAGTCCACACACATTCATGCATAACTATTCATGCTGGACACTAGTGGATTCGAATGCTTACTGAAAGTCAGTTCAACTGAGGATATAAGTTTTAGCAAAACAAACACAACAAATTTCTTACTTAGATAGAACAGGTATTCACTCAGGGTGTAAACGGCCATTTTGTATAACGTATTTCTAAGAATGCTGTAATCATATTAATTGTTACATTTGACTGATTCATAGTGGGTTTTATCAACTTCTTTCTACATACAACTGGAATTTATGTTGTAGCGTTTGATGTACTATGCACAAAAATACCTTGATATAGCCTTTACCTTTGCCCACCGATTCAACTTAACCAATCAAATCAATACGACCTTCAAAAATACATTTGAATGAAATTAAACAACCAATCGGAAGGCAGGCATATTTTACTCAACCAATCAGCTTTAAAATATATATATCGATAATTGGTAAAATAGGATGTTATGCGTGCAGATTTATTCAGAGTTGAATCACTATGATCTGGAGTTAAGTAACACTGAAGAAGAATCCTATTATGATAACAAAACGTTTACACGGTGTGACTCCATCATATTGATCAGCTATAAGAATCTGTCGTTTAAAGAGTGAATCTTCTTAGTATTTAATCGGAGGAATAGATATTTTCACTCATTTATATTGATTTTTAATGTCATGAATAATAATAGAACGTGGTATTTATATATTTCTCAGAAATAATATTGTGTCTGCGTAAACGTTACCTGACAAAATCGCTGCACTAAGAATTGTTTGTTAAAACTCAAGGTAATGGCCATAAACACATCGTGTATCACTGGACCACACTGTTTAATATAAAGAGAAAAACAGAAAAAATGGAAAAATATATTACTTATTAACATACTAAATTATAAAATAAGAATTATAAATTGACTAAAAAATCCCAGTTCTCTGTAAACGCATGTCTACAACTGACTGCCAGAGTTTTCAACGTAGACTATTGCTGTACAAGAGTGCAGCCACTCAAATTGTCACACTTTTCATAGAATATAGAGGCAGAGAAGAAACTCAAAGGAACTATGATGAACGAAAATGTAAAGGAGAAGGAATAAATACGTATCCATCTGTGCCACTGAGAACTCCTGGAGTCATGCTATCAGTAGTCCTCCGGCACTGGTTCTTGACATCTCTAGGACTCCAGCAAGGTAACCTGCACCTTTTTTACAGTGACCATACCATCAGTAAAAGACTTCATGGACTAATGGGAAGTTTGGTTGTGACTTTTCATAACCCTTTATCTACCTACTCCCATATCAGCCATTTTCGCTCGTCGAGGAAGACGATGTATCTGTCTACGCGACACGTAGAAAACTTATGCTACCAGCTATAAATTATGCCGCTAGATTTTGGAAACCGTGGGCAGTCGAAAATCAGCTGTTTCGCACCATCATTAATAAAATATTCTCCTGCAAAAGCAATCTAAAACGCAGAAATTAGTACTAGTGTGGTGAGAGCTGTCTGCTAGCCAAATTTGTAGACAGTAATTTATGCCAATGTTTACGTCCCACATATTGGTAATGTGAAAAGAACAAAAACAAAGACTGACACAACAACCAATCACAGCAGACTTTGCGTGGGTGGATACAATTAGCAGATGGATGATCTGACCTTCAAGTAACAGCCACAAAGAGATGAAAGATTTACTTTCAGTGAGAAACAACCAATCAGAAGACTTTGGTTGTCCGCTAACAATAATCTATAATAATGTACATGAAAATCTATAAATATGTGTTGATTTCGGAAATAAATCATCTGTTGCCTGGCCCTTGTCTTCTGTTGTTACACTAGTATATCAGTGGTTCAGACGTGGGATGCTTGCCAAACACACAGAAATAGTCCAAGATCGATTGCCAGTCAAGGCACTCCTAACCACACCTAGTTTACTAGTCAAAAATGGACTTGAGAAAAAGAGGAGGTTAGACGTGAGACTACCCCAACCCCATGCTATGAAGACAAGACCACGACTGTTGAAAATTCAGAGTGCCTGAAGGAATGATAACAGAATAAACACCGATAAGAAGTTATTGAATTGAATTTTTGATTTTCCCGTCGATTGATTGGATCGAAGTGCTCAGTCTCAGGTTGACATGTCGGCTTCTTGTGCAGATGCTTCGACAATGTCTGGGCATTTAATTAGTATTTAATTGGTGGATGGTGGCTAGCAGTGGAATCCAGGATGCGCGTTTCGTCCTATTTGGGACTCGTCAGCTGGATGTACCTGCATTTCCAAAAGACGAGCACCAAATAGGACGAAATGCTCATCCTGGATTCCACTGCTAGCCCCCATCCACCAATTGTATACCGATAAGAAGTGATTGAAAATACTTAATGTCTAACATTTTACTGAATACATTGACTTAGAGTACTTATTCAAAAAGCGTTTCTATCCGTTATCCCAATTTAGTTTATTATTTCTTGTTCCCTTGGGTTCCTAGTGGAACATACGGCTTCAACCGCACATATCCACTTGTTTCTGTCTTCCTTCTGCTGTACTTTTCACCTGCAACCATGTTAGTCCATACTCTTTCAACTCCTCTTCACACCATCACCTCCACGTCACCCTTGCACTGACGTCCCACTTGCCGCTTCCCTTTCGGCTTGGTTCCACTCGAGCAATGGCCTAACGCCCGCGCGATGTTTTACAGTGGCCTCCTCAGCCACGAGTGTCCAATCCATCCATCTCCTCTTTCTCCTGCATATTTGTTGGTTGGCGATTGGTTCTTGTTTTGTTTGTTTGTTCCCATAGTTTCTTGTTGGTGATTCTTTCCGACCCAGCCATCTGATCTTCAGTATAGAGCGAAGACAGGTGTTGGTTGATGAAAGTCGGCAACAGGCTGTTGGAAATATTCTTTGTGACCCACCCGCCAAGTTTCTGATCCGCTCTGTATTGAAAAACTGACTGACTTGACGTTGTCTGTATTGAAAATCCAACCGAATTTTCTTGTTGGTGCTGAGTTGAGTGGCGAAGATTTCCAGATTGGTTTCAGGTTGACGAATGTGTGTGTTTCTCGCCTTCCCGATTCTCACTCGATTTGACAACCTCGTCGGTCCCGACTGCCTGTAGTTGAGACAATGCTCCCTTCCTAGATAAGTGAATGAAGTAACCTCTTTCAAATCCCTCCCGTTGATGGTGTCTGACTCTGGATGTTACAGAAGTCCTGTCTTCGCCGGCTACTTCTTCGACCAGTTTGTCGGTTTTCGCTTGTAAGTCTTCGATTTTGTGACAGTGACATCAAAAATAAATCATCCACAAGCGAAATCCAGGTCTTCTAGGTTCTTCACGTCGGTCCGGGATATCTCCGTCTTCTCGTTTCCCACTGACTGCCTGACGCATAATCCAGTCAACCACAATCTCGAATATCATTGGTGATGATAAGCGAGCACCCTTGTCTGACTCTTGCGTTCACTCCAAACGCCTCGCTGAGTTTTCCGTTGTGGATCACTTGACATGTGCCGTTGTCGTACAGCTGTTGAATAAGGTTGATGAATTTTGGGGTACGCCATAGTTGATAGGAATTAAAAGCTGTTATATAGTCTACAGTGAGCGTTTTCAGTCACTAAACGACCAGTAATCTCATAATTCTTTTTCTTTTCTTATTAAATGGTACTTTCTTTAGAAAGTTTTTTGAAAGACTAGAAAAAAACAAACCAAAAGGTTTCTGAAATATTGTTTACATAGTTACTAGTACATAAGTTAATGAATTCAATATTTTGACGATCAATAAATCGATAGATAAATGGTAAGATAATATTGAAGCAGTTCTTATAAATAAGTATTAAGAATAATATTAATAATAGTAGTAATAATTTAACTCACGACAAACGAGTAAGTAGGCACTTGATTGCACATAGCTAACGTGTTATTGTATAATTCTGAAAGGAAGTGCTTTGATAATAACATTGATTTAATGGTTAATCCTGTTTCGTAACAATATTTACAGACTAGAAGAAGAATAAGAAAGGGAAGAAAGAATACGATAAAAAAATGAAGAAACTATGCTGAATGATGGTCAAATGATGTCAGTCAGACACCAGTTTAACACTGATTCTCTACCTATTAAACAATGATGACGTTTAAAAAATATCTTTGAATTAATAAAATGAGATATTGTGCAAAACAGAGTTTTGAATTTCAGATTTTCCCGTCGATTGATTGGATCGAAGTGCTCGGTCTCAGGTTGAGATGTCGGTTTCTTGTGCAGATGCTTCGATAATATCTTGGCATGTAATTAGAAGTTAACTGGTAAATGGTGACTAGCAGTGGAATCTAGGATTACGCGGATTTCGTCCTGTTTGGGACTCGTCAGCCAGTGGATGTCCCTGCATTCCGCAGTCAGTGAATGATGATGTTCTTACGAGTCCCAAACAGGACGAAATGCTCATCCTGGATTATTATTATTTTTATTTCCTTGGGTTCCGAATGGAATTTGGGATTCAACAGGACATCGCGATTCTATCCTGTTCTTTTCAGTCCTCTATACCTCTTTATACAATCTCTCCTGAATGTCAACTTCAGTAAGTCGCCCAACTCGTCGATCGTTTCCCTTCTGGGTTCCATTCTTTAGCCTGCATGTCTCGTCATGAAAGCCAACGGTCTCTTCGCCATTTGTCCAACCCATTTTCTCTTGCTTCTGCATATTTGGTGGGTGGTAAATCCTCTGTTTCTGGGGTTCCTCACTGTTTATCTTTTCTGTACATCTGGTCATTTTGTATGGATCTAAGATGGTAGGTGTCAATGAAAGTTTACAGTAGCCTCTGAAAAATACTTTCGGTGATGCATATAACGCACTGAAGATGGCCCCAGAGATTACCGAATATGTTCTCATTCCATTATTGCAAAAGGTTTGGAAAGAATAAAAGGTATCTACTGATTGGAAGAAAGGCTGGCTGCCTCGTCAAACTGCCAAAGAAGGACGACCTAGACGTGTGCTAGAACTGACTAACGTGGAATAATGCTCTTGTTTACGCCAAGTAAAATACTAAGTCGCGTCATCGTGGAAAGAATAAAGGATGCAGTGGATGCAGAACTCCGTCAGCCACATTGGAACAAGCTGGTTTCAAGAAAGACAAAACATGTGCTGATAAAATAGCAACTCTACACATCGTCATCACAGAACAAAGCATAGAATGGCAGTCAAACCTCTCTCTCTACCTTCAACTTGATCGACTTCGAAAAAGCCTTTGACAGACTGTATTGACCGCTGAGTTATTTGGAAACTACTTCAACACTGCAGTGTACCTCGATTGTTTGTCAACCTCATTCAACAGCTATAATTGACAATGCCACGTGTCAAGTGATCCACAACGGAGAACTCAGCGAGGCGTTTGAAGCGTATACAGCATTAAGACAAGGCTGGCTGGCTGGCTGGCTGGCTGTCTATTTTCACCGATGATACTCAGACTGTTGGGGGGCGAGGAGTCAAGAATACGCTGGACCACTCATGAGAAGACTTTGGAAGGCATAGATTTCGCGCCTGGATGATATATGTTTAATTTCTCACAAACTTGAAGACTTAGAAGCGAAAGCCAACAAACTCTCTAAAGAGGCTTACAGTGAATACAGAACTTCATTTGAAAAACCAGCATCGTTTCAACTACTGGCGGAACGGAAGAGATGTCAAAGCCAGTCAAAATCGTAAAGACAAGATACGCCATCGTCAACCTGAGACCAGTTTTCAAATTTTCCGCATTCAACATAAAGAACAAGATTCGGAATCTGTTCAACACCAATGTCAAGTCGGTTCTTCTATACGCGTCAGAAATCTACACTGCGCGTTAGCCACGTAAAGGATTTCCAACAGGTTGCAGACTTTCATCAACACCTGCCCACTTCGCTGGCTCCAAACTGAAGATTAAATGGCTGGCGAGAAAAAAATTAGTAACAAGAAACTCCTGCTGGGAATAAACCAACAGGTGAAAAGCCGATCGCTCAACAAATATGTAGGAGAAAATGGAGACAGAGTGATCGGGCATACACCACTGAGAAGGCAACCGAATTATATCGCATGTCAGGCCGTCGAGTGGAATCCAAACGGGCAGCGACAAGTAGGTCGTCAATGTGAGGGTGACATGGAGGAGGTCGTGTGTGAGGAAGAGATGAGAGAGAGAATTTGTTCAATCGTGAACCCAGCTGAAGAGGATGGCAGAAAACAGAACAAAGTGAAGATGTATTGTTGAGAGCAGCCTTATGTTTCATTCAGAACACAAGGGAATAATAATAATCCGAGTCTTTGAACTTTATAGAAGACCTCCTAATTCGACATTAATGTTGACGAACTAAATCTTGTTCTTTATGCTGACTGTAGCAAATCTTCGCACTGATTCCAGATAAATCCAGGCCTCTCACGCTTCTCCAATCACAGCTAGCTTCGACATTCTCGTCCGTTGTGTCACATGTAGTTGAAACGACGCTGCCTACATAAATTAAATTACTGACTTACTTCGAATTTCTTCTGTTGATGGTGATTGGTGCTTGTTGCTGTTGGTGGTGGCGGTGGTGGTGGTGGTGGTTCACTTGAAGTCTTTTCTTCACTGCCAGCCTCTTCTGCCGGCAACTTGTTGGTTTTCGCCTATTGATATTTCAGCTTTTGTGACATTAGAAACAAATCACCTGCGAATTTCAGATCTCCTACAGTCTACTCCTCGGTCAAACGTATTCCTGTCTTCCGTATGATTCAGTCTACCACAATCGCGAATAACATCGATGATGGTAGGCAGCCTTGTTTAACTCCTGTTCCCCCCACCCCCCTCCGAGATGCTTCTCTGAGCTTTCTGTCGTGAATTACATGACATGTAGCAATATCATATAGCTATCTGCGCAGTAAGGTTGATATAAAGTTGGAGCACTCTGTACTGTTGGAGCGGTTTCAAAATTACTTCGCATAAGAACTCTGTCGAAGTACTTTTCAAAGTCGACGGAGCTGAGGTATGGTTTCGAGTACCATTTTACACTTCTATCACTTCTGATAATGCAGATGAAATTAAAGGCCACTTGGCCAACCCTGTGATCCACATTAGAAGTGATTAATGGCTGACATTTGTCCTTGTCACCAGAATGGAAAGCAGCTAAATAGAATTATATTGTCATTATATTATATTATTGCTCATCCCTTGCATTTTGCGTGGAATTAAAGACCTTCATCAGCAAATTTCCATCCCATTATGATCTTTACCATCACTTCCAGCTTGTTCCAAAACTGCTGACAAGTTTTCACCCCCTCTTTGCATAATCTACATCAAGTTACTCTTGAAAGTTGATTCCATGAATTTCCATCCAGATTCTAACCGAGGACATGTATGGTGTGTGTTTTGTCAATTGGAGGCCTCTTCAGTGTACTTTAAATAACACTTAATGATTTTATCATTAACGATATTAAAATTCAGTGTAAACAGATAGGTGACTGCTGTCATACTGGAAATTGGTCGATAACATACTGTCACAAATTGTATAAACTTCTTGAGAAATCGATGTAGAAGTCAGTTACTGATCAATACTTCCAGTGGACTGAGTGACAAATCGTTCGCATCGAAATCCAAAGGTTCTAAAGTTAAGTACACAACTAGATTATTTTTTCGCACACTCTAACCTCATCAAACATTTTTTTTAAATGTTAAGTGTAGGCTAACAGAGATTTGCATTGGACACTAGTAACTAGTGTGACGTGTCTAGTCCTTTCTTTGGTTTGCAGATTGAATTTGATCAGTCAGGTTTGCAATGTGGCCACCATGCCAATAGGTAGCTCGCCATCACGGTGCACATTGATTTGATGACATTAGATAGTTGGAGGAAATTGGTGACAGGAAGTCGGTTAGTTTCAAGTTGCACCACGAGTTGAGGTGAATTAGAGATGAAGTAATGAAGGCTGTGCAGCACTGAACAGTGGTCTCTATCATGAACTCATCGGCAGTCAAACTAAAGACATTCAAGTATTTGATTTGTAGGGATTTTGTTTGATTGGATAGAGGATTTCATCATGTTAGAGAACCACTGGAAGATATGGGAGTAATGGACAGCTGTTTCGTCCTAGTTTGGGACTCTTCATCTTCCGTGACCAGAAGGGTACACCAGGTTGAAGATGAGGCAGTAACTCATCGAAGAAGACATTGCGAAATGGTTGCGCTATGTCATGAATTGACAGAAGTTAGAATTCAAGGACCATTGGATCGGGTCCCCGTGGCTCAAGAGTCTACAAGCTCGTCTTGTAACCAGAAGGTCTTGGGTTCAAACCATGGTGGTGTTTGCGTACTGATGAAGAGTCCCGAGCTAGGTGGATGAAACAGCTGTCCAGTACTCCCTGGCAGGTTTTCTAGTGGTTCTCTAACTGATGTCAGCTCATGATGAAATCCTCGATTAAAGACATTCAATTTTGCACCGATAAGCTCATTTACCACTCTCCCAACTTCACCCACTTGGTGATATATTTAGCGCTACTAAAAGCCAATGTCATCGGTGAGTACTTGTCTTCATACTCAATATGGCTGACGTCACATGATCATGATTTCCCACTAGAACCAAAGGTTACCTTATCTTCTTTTTTTATTTCCTTCACGTTCCCAATGGAACATAGGGCCTCGAGCTAGGGGCTTAAAGTTTCTGTAGCAGTGTTTATCTTTACAGGATGGGGTTGCTAGCCCCACTGCCAACTTTTCCTCTTTACCAGCATTATTTCTGGTTTCGCGAAGTAAAGCGGTGCGTCTGTTGGCCGGGTATCGAACCCCGGACCATGCTCATGGTTGGCGAGCGTCTTAACCGCTGTCACACCGATGCACACCTAACCTCCTAGATAGTAAATAATGCGTATTACATTAATTTTCAAGTGTCGGTTTTCCGGGGTCATGACTGAGTAACAATAAGTACACTATCGAAAACCAGGAAGAGACAGCTATCGAACACCTTGTGGTTTTCAATGCCTTTCTATTATTCGATTTCACCTTGTCATCTAATTTGAAAACAAACTGCGCTGACTACTTACTTACCTGGTACATAGGGTGGATAATAACAAAATCCAAGAAACTGAAATATAGTCAAAAATAGAAGAAAATAATTTAAATATTTTGCATAATCATACTGAAGATTCTTGCTTTTAAGCATTTCATTACTGTACAAAAGTAGGAGAATGCCTTCGACAATGTCACTCACTAGTGGTGTATAAAAAACACTCGGCATAGATACTAACGATGAAATTTGAACAAAGCTGTGAGGACAGTAGCATTCAGACAAATTTCACCTTTGTAAGTAGTATGGTAGATTTCAATTTTCAAGTACTGGATTCAACCATGAGTTGACATTAGTTAGAGAACCACTGGAAAACCTGGGAGTCCTAGACAGCTGTTTCGTCTGCCTAGTTTTGGACTCTTCAGTAGTACGCAAACACCACCACCACGGTTCAAACCTAGGACCAAACTCACCACAAAGCGCGACCATTTCACAATGCCCTGTTCTAGTGTGAAGCCGTGACGAGTAGGGTAGAGCAGGTTGAAGATGAGGCAGTAACTTATCGAAGAAGACATTGCGAAATAGTCGCGATATGTCGTGAATTAGCAGAAGTTGGAATTCATTCAATGGCCATTGGGTGGAGTCTCAGTGGCTCAATGGTGCACGAGCTCACCTCGTAACCAGAAGGTCTTGGTGGTGTTTGCGTACTGTTGAAGAGTCCAAAATTAGGACGAATCAGCTGTCCAGTACTTCCAGGTTTCCCAGTGGTTCTCTAACTCATGTCAGCTCACGATTAAATCCTCCATCCAATCAGATTTCAATTTCTTTCCGTCATCATTAAAGTCTACACATAGTAAACAGTAGCTAATTTTCATTGTCCTACCTTATTTTCATAAGAGGAGTTGATGATCAGTGATCTGATGATTTGATTCTGTCTCTAGCTTTTCCAGAATCTATACTCCATTGAAAGACCATGACGGAGGGTTACTTCTCTCCGAAGCTACACTGTTCTAATGTTTAAGGGTGAAGTTCCGAGTTACTTGTTAGCCTGTTTACAGGGGCATGGTCTATCTGAAGGTAAATGACTGACTGACTGACTGACTGACTAGCGTATACAATGGCTTTAAGTTATGGTGAGAAGTCGTGACATGCAACGTCGACTGACTTGCATGTGAGCACAAATGCTCGACGGAGGTGTAATATATAGTAAACAAGAAAACGTTACAATTTATGGTCTGGCAAGTCGATTTCACCCCAATGGCTGGATGGCCAACGAGAGCACCTTGTAATCTGGAAGTCCTGGGTTTGATCCATAGCTGTGGATTCGTGGCTGTTCTTCGAAGAAGAGTTTCTAACTGGGACGAAACTACTGTCCATTGCTTCCTAGTTATTACTGGTTCCTTAAATGATTTCAGTCAGTGATTTCACTTTGAATATGATTCGTTGGTGAATATAATAACTAGTAGGCTAGGCAATTGATGCATTATCCCCATTGACAGCTAGTAAACACTTGACATCACCTGCACGTAACAGATGAACTCTATAAGGTCACGTTTTCTACACTTGTCATTGTACTGGTATACATCGCTTGAATGATTTAAAGTGGCCTAAAATCCCTTTACAAAGTTTTATTCATAATTACTAGTGCTCAATAATCTGTCGAGTAAAATACATGACTTAAGTTAAGCTTAGTGTGTTGGTAGTTAAGCCCTGTGATACCTATCAGACACGCCCCATGTGATCCGAGGTTCGATCCTTAGCTGTCGCATACCTGAGCCTTACACACGCGATGGTAAGTCCTGTAAAGGTAGAAAGTCTGGTGTGGGGCTAACAACTTCCTTCCAGTGAAAACAACATCTGGGCTACCGAAACATGGAATCTCAAGTCTGAAGTCCTATATCCCATTCAGAATCCAAAGTAGTAAAGTAAATAATAATAATAATAAAACAGTCGAGGTCAGACATTCGGATTCTACTGGAATGCAGTCTCACTTTGTAGATGATTCATCTTCAACAGGAAGCCCTAGACCATAGTTTTGCTCTAGTTGGCACTCACTAGTCAGCAACGAGCCTCTGGAACCCTGCAAGGAATCCATATCCCTTCTGAGATTCAAGCCTGCGTTACCCAGTGCCGCTTGCAGTCAGAGACGTTACCACAGAGCTATTCGGGTCGGCGACTGACCTCCTGTAGGACTGTATTGGCTACTTTGATCCGACACTATTCAGTAACTAGTGTAATGTGTATGTCTAGTCCTATCTTTAGTGCCGACTGAATTCTATCAAGTAAGTTTGAAAATAACACGAAACCTATATCCAAGGGTTCCTGAGATTACCTCTAACCATCTCATATCAACATTTCAAAGTACGCCATTATGGCAAGCCACTCAATAGCATGATAGCCACATTGCATAATTGACTGACAAAATTTAGTCTGCACCAAAAATAGTGTAACGACAATAGACAAGGGCCAGACAACAGATCGTTAATTGAGAAAAACAACAGATTTTTATGAATTTTTATGTACATTATTATTCGTTATTTGTTAACAGAGAAGCAACGTCTTCTGAGTGGTTGTTTTTTTCCTGCTCAAGGTTATTCTGTCATCTTTTTGTGGCCATTTCTTTGAAGTTCAGGCCATATATCTGCGAATCGTTCCTTCCCACGCTAAGTCTACTGTGATTGGTTGTTGAGTTCTTCAAGGTTGGTCTTTGTTCTTGTTCATCTTTGATTTTGCTGACAAATAATCTACTGACTAAGCTTTTTTTTGCTGTCAGCTGTGTGGGAAATATGGCAGTGTTGAAGTCCTTGACTCCTTTGGTTAGCTGATGAGTTTAGGCGAGTAGGCCATTACCACACAAATAGTCCTTAGTGCTGGTAGTACAGACTAAATTTTATCAGTCGAGTTTGTCATGTGATCACCAGTTGAGATGACCTTGCATTTTCGTGACTTGTGAATTGATGTTAGATGATTAGAGGTAATTGACCGGAAGCTCTGGAGCTAATGACTGGCCACCGTGTATATTAGAGCCCTGTAGAAGGTTAATCAAGAGTCGGAATAGGTCAGTGGGAACATCTCTGACTTCAGCATTAAATGAAGCGGTCTTGGGCCCCGAACAGGACTCATCAGTGACAACAAGAATGAAGGCTAGATCTAAAGCTTCTTGTCGATTTCGCGCAATCATCGAAGACTAACCCATGAGATTATAAATTTCAAATAAAAGAAATGTGGACAAGTCATCAACTTACAGCACACCATTTTGCTGGTTCAAGTTGCCTGAGAAGCTTGAATGCCTTGCTTGCCAGCTGAGTTGAAAAATCTAAACACTAAGAAAATGAAAAACACTCTATGTTATTATAACATGAGAAACTGAATTTCATCATGAATTTGTGTCGAATGACAAACAAATCAGTGCGAATTATTGTACACTCTGTGAATACTAGAAAGAATTAAGGTTCTGTCAAAATTTTTTCAGTGGATTCGTGAACATTCTGTATAAAATGTAACAAGTTTTTACTTTTTTAATTCATGGAAAATTCCCTTTGTAACATATAGAAAATCAAAACAAGCGGTGATTCAGTGGAGAGACTCTCTCCAACAATGAATTTATCATCAAGCTGAACAGTCGTTCACATATATGGTTTTTAAGAAGTTATATCCGATGAGGGAATTGAATCATATGTGTGAATGCATAAAATAATAATAACAATAGTAGTATGAAATGCAATTAAAAACTAAAATGTTCGTGATTGTAATCATAATTAAATATCATATATAGAATAATTCATAGGATGTATACAGCTTGGAAGGAGTTTGCAATCATAGGATTAGTAGGCAAATCGAATAATTGGCTTTTGTTGTGTTATACGCTCTAAAAGTCCACAGATTTAACTTTAAATCAGTTTATTCTGATCGAAGTAGCCAGATATCAGTCAGATGTGCATATTTCTTCAGCTCAAAAGCGAGATGCACGAGGAGGTACGGATGAAGTTTTAGATCCGGAAAGTACAAATCCAAAACCTACAAATACTGCATCAAACCATACAGAGTCCACTCATCCTTTGTCAGTGTCACCTCCTGATCTTTCTATTTCTAATGATAATGAACAGAAGGTACAGGCTCTTTGTGAATTCCTAGATGAACCAAAGTGCGAAGATGTTTCAGATACTGAGTTAGATTCATTACTTCCATCATCTATAATTAATTTTTCACCCGAAATTAACGAAACAACAGATAAATTTGAGTTATCAAGTTATAATTATACTATTAATTATAATGATCCAAATTCAGTGCAGTTATATAGCGAAGAAGCTGAAAAATATGACAACATTCTTCAAAGCACATCAGATGTTATGTTCACTGTGGATACTTTAGAGACCTTGTCGACGCAAATCAGGCAACAAATGTCAGGTCCAGAAAATTGGGATGTAAACGAATTAAGTGATCCTATTGAGTTTGAAGGAGAGCATTCAGCAAATGAAATTGATCAGTCTGAAATCAATTTGTTAGGATCACCAAAATTCGATGATAATTTATATACACTGTGGCAAGAATTGGTCGAATCAGCTGCGCAAAAATCAATTTCAGTAGACAGTAAATTGGATGAACAAGACTATGTTCAATGTGTTGGAGCTTATTTCTCCGGCATAGGGCATCGGGATATTATCCCATTACGAAAACGTGCTAGTGGTCTCGAATTATTACGGAACACTGGGATTAGTCGAACATACTTTGGGAATGATTTACTTAAACATTTAATAGTTAATAATTCGAATGAAGAGTCTAATGAGAACAACGTTTGTCATTCAAATGAATTTCCAGATACATGGGCTAACAGCAATTGTGAGAATGCATTCATTGGCTCCGGAATTTTGGATGTGTTATCAAAATTAGTCTTGCCTTTATCACGTAAAACAGATGGTTACTTACGTCAAAATTTATTAAAAACTGTCAAATGTACATAACCTACACTTATAGATGTATATATTTTCTTCATATATATATATATATATATATATGTGCGTCGGTAGCACAGTGGTTAGGTCTCTCGCCGACCATGCACATGGTCCGAGGTTCGATCCCCTGCCGACGCACATCTGATATCTATGGTCGGCCTGCATAATTTGGGCTACCGATATTCATGCTGAAAATTCCATGCTTGTACCAAAAATACAGTGTGGAATCAAGCTGTAAATCAAAAATAAATAAAAAAATTTAAAAAATTAAAATAAAAAAAACGTTACGTAACGTAGAATTTAAAGTTTTAAAACACATATTGATTAAGAATGACAAGCGGAACAAGTGAAATAATACCGGGGACAGTTTAAACTGAGAAAAGTAATTGTAACAATTGACATAATAAAGGGAGAGTATACAAATTGAATAGACAAAATGAAAAAAATTGGTAGAGCCAAAATATGAAATAGCAGTTACCATACTTTAGCATAGAAGGATCAAGACCATGAAAGTTGAGAGTACATAGAGATCTAGCTTTTCTATTTCGATAGCCAAAGATAACTTCAGCAATACAGATGAATTGGGTACGTAGTGATTTGGGTAAATTACTTTTTGCCTTGTAGATGAGGTGGAGGCTACAGAGATAGGGTGATCAGTATCGACCAGATGTTCAATAATCGCGCTTCTTATTGCTCCACTACCACCTCTTCGCAACAACAATGCAGGATAGTGTTTTTGTAGTCTTTTGGACAAAACTAGAGTCGAACGGACACATAGTTGGTCGGTGGCACAGTGGTTAGGACTCTCGCCGACCATGCACATGGTCCGGGGTTCGAGCCCACGCCGGCGCACACATGATATCTATGGTCGGCCTGCAAAATTTGGGCTACCGATATCCATGCTGAAAATTACACACTTGTACCAAAAATACAGTGTGGAATCAAGCTGTAAATCAAAAAAAAAACAGAGGGATTTTTTCCTTCACGTTACTGAACAGTATTGGTCAACTGGTAAAGGCTATTCACAAAAATGCAACAGGGAATGTTCTTTTCAGGGACTGTGATATACTTCTTTTCATAATATATATCAGAAGCTAAGTCACCTCTGAATTCCAAGCCCATGTAGAGTATTTTTTTTGGTGCGGATGATAAGTCACTTAATGTTAAATTCTATGCTATCGAATTTCATACAATTTTATGTAACGTTTTTATTTTATTCGATTCGCCTACTAGTCGTATAATTGCGCGCCCTCTCCGAGTTCTATACATCCTATGAATTATTCTATATATGAGATTAATTGTTTCGCCACTTGAAGTTCACTTTTGTCAACTATAAAAAGAAAGACCGTTGTTTAGAAGGTATTTTCACATTCATAAAATGATCTTTATGGTGCGATCCACGTGGAATTTCACTTCACACGTTTGCAGTATCATCTTGGAGGAAAAATGGTAGTGGCCGATCACATACGACGTGTTTGAAGAGGTTTCTGGAGTTTTGTCCACATGAATTTTTTTACTGCCGGCTGGCTAAAGACCGCCACAGAATAAGTCTGAATGTATAACTTTTGAGGTAGAACATTTTTACCGCCTTTCTAGAGCTATGAGGTGGCAAAACTGTCACCCGCAGACAAGGCCCAATTCACCGTTCCCCATTCAGATTCCTCTGGAGGTTATGCCTGAAGTGCGACGTAATTCGACAGTTCCCTCAGCTTGTGTCCGATCCAACTTCCTTTTATTCGGAATATTTGTTGAGCTATCAGGTTCTTGATTGGTTGGTTCCATATTAGTTTGATTATTAAATGTATCACACAGTGAAACAGTATTGTATACTGGATGACGTTTCGAACACAATTTATTGTTCATAATCATATCAATTTTTGTCACACGACTTCGAGATTTGATTTTGATAGTTTTCTCTGTCTTCTCCTATTTGTTGTATGGACAGTAGAATTTTCCATATATCTGGGACAGGTGTTGAATCATTCCTATTACATGTATTCTCTTCAGTTGATTCGATAAACAAAGCTTCTGTTATCAATCTCTCCCTCCACCCTGTCAGTTGCATTCGATTTTAAAACTGTCATTCTATCCCATCCTATTGTATGGTTGTGTGTAACTGCATGTAGCTGAACTACTCTCTTTATTTCTCATCTTATTTGGGTCAACCAATCTAGATTTAACTAGGTTTTTATGTTCGGCTAGTCTGACTGCCCCTGTTCTACCAGTTTGACGTATGTATTTGACCTGACAATCATTCCGGCAGGGTATTACATAAACTAAATTGTTTTGTTTTAATGACTCTACAGGATCCTTTAACCGACAAAGTTTGTTTCTAATTGAGTTTGTGGGTTTGAATGCCACTTTTATTCCTGCCTTGTTAGGAATTCTGCGTAAGGCTTCCGAGGTTCCTTCTTTGTATGGAATTATTGTTGATGATTTACAGTTTTAAAATCTAATGTCACAGGGTATAGGGAGAGATTGATAACAGAAGCTTTCAAGTATTGGTTTTTTGTAGGGATTTTGTTTGATTGCATGTTTATCGAATCAACTGAGAGTGAATACACGTAATAGGAATGATTCAACACCTGTCCCAGATATATGGAAAATTCTACTGCCCATACAACAAATAGGAGAAGACAGAGAAAACTATAAAAATCAAATCTCGAAGTCGTGTGACAAAAATTGATATGATTATGAACAATAAATTGTGTTCGAAACGTCATCCAGTATACAATACTGTTTCACTGTGTGATACATTTAATAAACAAACTAATATGGAATTACTTAATACCACAGTGCCCAAGTTTTACACATATATTAACTTGATTGGTTAGTTCTCTGAGTTTTTTTTCGATAGTTCTTTCGGGCTAGCCGTTCGACTTTCAATGTGGAGCTTGTTAGAAATGCTTTTTGTGGCATGTCCGCTAAGTTTCTGAGCCAAATAGATGAACTGATGAACTTCGCATAGATTATGAAAAACACAAATTTTATTCTTTATGCTGAGAACAGACGATTTCCAAATATGATTTCATAGTTGGTAGCCAACGGTAAACGATTTCACAGTTTTCTCCATCTTGGACAAAGTTATAGAAACAAACTATAAAACTTTTTAAAAAAGAACCACAATCTGTATACTGTTATGTCTGAAAATCCATATTATTGTCGTGGGTTCTAAGTGTAAAATAAATCTTCAACAGCACACCTTTGTCTTCATTTTGACATGGAAAAAGCGGGAAAGCTGGGTGTGGGGATAGTGGCTATACACTGGGAAATCAATTCATTGGCTTCAAAAACTTCAAAGTACAACAGAAATATAATAAAAGTCGGACATATTTTTCAAGAGAATCAAAGAGACGAAATGATACAAACTGTCGAAAGCCTTCAAGAAGAAGCCAAGTAGCTGATGTGTCTCGTTTCACCAAAATCAGAAATAAACATGAGAAAATGGAATGTCTACACGATGTCCGAAATGGACAAGACTTTAGAGACTGCAAAGGAAACTGGAAGCTATGATATAGTGATGCTAGCAATCTGTGAGAGCATATGGGACAGAAGTGGATTACCCGGACTGTTAACTGCGCAGTCGGTAATCTACTCTAGTTACATGAACGACAACCACGAACACACTGATAGTTTAGCTATCATGGCATCATCAAAACTCCATACATTTCATTCAGGCTTTTGGGAGGAAATCCACCCTATTTCCCCTAGCTCTTGTGTTCATTGGGTTCTTTCCACAAGAACTAGAATACAAATTGTGCCTATTACACATGTGTGCATATGAGTAAACAAACGGTTAGTAAGAAATCAAAAGATATTCTGCAATCACTTACTGAATTGTAAAATGGTCCTGTCTTAAAACAAAGCATTTTAATTTTCTCATTAACCGTATACCATGTATTTGAACTTAAAATAATATACAAAACTTGCTGAGTACCAGATTTGCATGAAATACATTCTAAAATAGAACAGAAAAGCATTTAGATCAATAATTTTTTCTAGTTGTATTGTTGTAAGTGTAGGGGGGAGGGAGAAGAGTAATTCCCCTCACTGACTATTTTGGCTATGAAGTGATTTTGAAAATCTGACAGTACTGGATAGCCGTTTCGTCCTAGCCGGCGACTCTTCTCAAACTAGGACGAAAAAGCCACCTAGTTGTACTTGGTTCTCTAACAGTTTTCCAACCGATGTCAGCTCGTGATGAAACCTTTAACCAGTCAATCCTTTCCAAAACAGCACCAGATAATCAATAGAATTTATCGACCTTTTTTATAGCAATATAATATTTAGAATTTGTCTGGCGCCAAATGTGAACCGCATCCAACATTAGTAAATGAATATTAGACATTATGACTAATGAAATAACTCTGGTAGTACATGAGATTTGGTTATTCACAGCAAACCACTAATCTTAAGGGTTAATAATAGTTTCTAGAGGAAGTATGAGTAAACTTCATTGTTAGTCCATTTAAATCACGAGGAATGGAAAGACTGAAATTGCGTCGTTGACATGTTCCTGGGTTCGATCCCCTGCCGACGCACACCTGGTATCAAAATTTGGCCTGCTAAATTTCGGCTACAGATATCAAATGCTGAAAATTCCACACTCTAACTAAAATACTGTGTGGAATAAAGCTATAATAAAGAAAATAATGATAAAAATTGACTTCTTAGTCTTTAAACCATTGGATCCAATTTCTGCGGATTTCTTTCTAAGTGAACTAGGTGTATGTCTGATTTCCCACAAACTGGAAGATATACAAGTGATGAAAAGCAACAAGTTGGCAGGAGAAGAAGCATCAAAGATAGGATATCACTTCAGGCGAATATAGAGCAAACAAAGGTGATAAAGACTCCTAGCCAACAGCGACGCTAACAACAACAACAGACAACAATCAGCCAGCATGAATGGGAGGAATCTGAAAGAAACAACCTACTTCATCTACTGACCTACCTGGGAAGCATTGTCTCAACTACAGGTGGAGGAAACTGATAAGGATATCAAAGCAGCGAGAATCGGGAAAGCAAGACAAGCTTTCATTCTCTGTCTGTCTGGATTCAACATAGAACTTGGCACCAAAGTGCACCAGTTCAAGTTGCCATATTCTAAATATTACACACACAGGTAGACAAGGAGATGAGCGAAGAACATTAATAGAGTTACACAAGTATGAGAGTGAAACAGAATGGGTAATGGTAGAAAGGAATATGAAAGATTACAGAGATTCATTACTCTCAAGTCTGTTTGAAGATTAACAGAACTACTCAGCATGAAAACTAAGACTTGGATTTTCAACTCGAATATGAAGTTAATGCTACTCACTATACGGATCAGAGACTTGACGCTGCGCCGTGTCACGTAGGGAACTTTGAACAAACTACACACCTTCATGAACAGCTAGCTAACTGTCTTCGCTCAATACTACTCAACATCAGATGGTTGGTCAGAAAAGATCAGCAACACAGAGGGGATCTCTGGGAGTGAATGAACCAACTCAGCAGGAACCAATTGTGCAGCAAATATGCAGAAAGAAATGGAGGTAGGTGGATTGGAGGCCATACTCTGAGAAAACAAACCACCATCAAGTGACATCACACGCCAGGCAATCGCTCGAGTGGAACCTGAATGGAAAGCAGCAAGTTGGCTGGTCGTTATTACGAGGGTGACATGGAGGAGGTCATGTGGACAGACGCGGAGCTAAGTAAAAACGTCGGTAGAGAACCGAATGCAACGGAGATGTGCGTAGCTGAATCCCTATGTTCCTCTAGGAACTAAAAGAAACAACAATAAATAATGACAATAATAATAAATAATAATATTAATAAACTAGAAAACTGTCCGTTAAATAACCTTATCAGAAAATCCTCATTTTATTGCCGATATGTAGATAATAAATTCATCCTTCGTAGAAAAATGATTTGGCCAGGGACACAGTGATATCTTAATTCAATGGTGAAGTACATCCAACTATGAAATTTACCTGTGTGTGAAGAAGACTTCCAAAGTAAAATTACTTTTTTAGACGTCCTACAGACAAGAAAATCACCAGACGGGAAAATAAAAGAGAATTTGCATAAGAAAGGTACCTGGATCGGTCAAGATACACAATTTCACAGCTCTTTTCTCCTCTCCAGTATATAAGAAATTCGATAAAGACGCTCAAGCTGAGGGTAAGAAGTATTAGTTCAGATCATATGATTGAAGTAGAATTTCAGGTTGTTTCAGAAGCGTTAATTGCAACGTTCATCACTAAACATACGACAAACAAAGTAGAAAGTAATTCCTCTGTATCTATACAACGTACGACTTCAATTCAAAGATGACAAACTAAGTGAGATAATGACTAGTAGGCTGTGAAAATCCATTCAAAGAACGTTTAATGTCGACAGTCTGTAACTCGCATTTTTTCATACAACAGGTTGTGCCCACTGAAGCTGGTGTCCCCCAAAGTGCTGTACTCTCCCCACTTCTCTTTTCTTTCTTTCCTTCTACATGACTTACCATCTTCAAATGACTTTAATTTTTGTTAAATATGCTGACGACCTGACTTTATCCCTGCCTGTCAAATGTCAAATTGACCGCTCCAAACTAAACGCCTTTTTATCAGAAATCAGCCAGTGGTCCAAGGAAAACGGTCTAACCTTAAACCCCTCCAAATGTCAAACAGTCAATTTCACCTTTAGGCATAAATCTGACCTAAACAAACTGGTTACCACTCACACGAGGTGTGCAACATAGATGGCACTGAAATAGAAACCAAGTCGGAAATTAAATATCTTGGCGTCATTCTATCTGCTGATCTTTCCTGGTCGTCTCTTATCTTGATGATTTCTAAGAAAATATTCCGTCTTACTCTCTACATCAAGAAGTTAAGACATTCTGGAATAACCCAACCCTTACTCTTACGATTCGTTAGCTCTTGCATCCTGCCTATTATTCTTTATTGTTCCCCCTTAGTTTTTCCAGGGCTCGCTACTGAAGAAAGACTATACCTTATTATGCAGGATGTTAAAGGTTGTCTGCGGGGTAAGCTACGTGCCACATAACCAGCTTGTTAATATTTTGGTGGACAGGCACATGGACTCATGTGAAAAATGGGCTAAATCCATTTTATCTAACTCACACAACCATCTTCATTCATTGACAACTCTCCCCTTGTATCCCATCAGGCAGAACCAGAAGCCTATATAGAAAACTATATACTCCCACTAGCAAGTACAAAAACTCAACCATAACCTACTTAGCTCGTGTTCTGTGAGATAAAGAAAGCATTAGGCGTGAAACTTATAACTTATTGAATAGTCAGTAGAACAACTGGATCTCGTCTTTCCAACTCACATCATTTACAGGTACAACGTTTTCTTTCTTTCTTTTCTTTTTCTCTGTCTTTTTTGTTATGTGCTGCATTGTTTCTTTCTTCCTTACGAACTCTACTTAAAACATTCTTCTTCGTTCTTTCACACTCTGTTTATCTCGACTTTTTGTTACCGCTTACGCCAGTAAATATGCTAGAAGTATCTACTTTTCTAACACCTTCAAACACTCTGTTCAACTTTGGCTTTGCTACCGACATGCCAATATGTTGTTGCCAAAAACTAACTGAGATTACCCTTAATCTATGTAGAATTTTATTTATTGTTAATATACTAACTGGATGCAATACTGTGTTGAAATGCTGAGAATTCCATTCTGTATCGCAAGTACTGTTTTGGAATAAAGCAAATTATTATTATTATTGTTATTCTTCAACTGAAAGACGACATACTTAGGCTGACCATCTCTTCTTGTATCTATCAATTCAACTCCTCCTATGGAGTTAGTTACATTGGTCAGCTCTCTGGAAACTGAATTTTTTGTTCTCAAGAACAACTATCACTTTGGATAGATAAATGTGTTGATAAAACCATCAACAGCTACGTATTACTTCATCTCCTCCAAAGAGGCCACGAAGCATAAAAGCAACATAACTACTGGAACCTCAAGAATCTTGGAGCCTATGTTACACTTGAAAAGCACAGGAATACAAATAGAAATTTGCCTCACATGTTATTTCATCCCCTCACTCTTCTGGTAGAAGACACGGTTTCAGGCTAGTCTCACACTCAACCTTTTCTCTTGAACAGTCTTACTATCAGCTTAACAAGATTTAGTAGTGTGTCGGCCAAAGATCTATCCCCGGACCGTGTGGATGGTTGATTAGGATTATACCTTTGAACCATCGAATCAACGTTTGTATATTTACACATATCTTTTACGAGTTTGACAACGGATTGATATCAGTTAGAGAAGCATTGAAAACCAGCACTAGAGTACTGGACCACCAGCTGTTTCATCCTAGTTTGGGAATCATCGGGTTCATCCTGTGTTCGAACCCAGGATAGGTGAGTAGTAACTCCATTATGGATAATATCTTATTTTGATAAATCACACAGTGTTATACAGTATACATCGAGTCTACACACCCCCAACACATGCAATAAGCATGACCCAATGCAAATACCAGAGATATGTATGGAAGATATTATTACCACCAGTCAGTCGAATCAGAGGAGGACAATAAATTATCTCAAAATTATATTTCAATTCAATTCACTTACATCATAACATTCTAACAAGTTACTCATTTATTTTGACTATAAAAACACTCGTCTTATTTCCATTCTGATTGTATTTGATCAATAACACTCATATTATTATTATTTATGAATGTACATTATCCTATATTGATTTTTATTCAATCAAATGTCTAATCATCAGTTCCCCAAGTGTATATAGATGAAGCAAGAAAGTTGTGTGAGTGAGTGCCTTGATATGATTATGAGCAGTAATAATTTGTACTCATCAGTTAATATTACTGTATAACAACACTGTGAGAGTTTGTCAAAATAAAACACTATCCACAATGGAGTTATACTCTATCAATACAGTGCCCAAGTTTTACACTTATATCAATAAGTGAGTACCGCCGATGATTCTCAAACTAGGCTGATGAAACAGTTGTCCAATACTCCCTGGTTGGTTTTCAATGGTTCTCTAACTGATATCAATCCGTGGTCAAACTCGTTAAAACAAATCTAATCCTAACAGATCAACTCTTGATATATGTATATATATATATATATATATATATATATATTCATAAAATATTTAATAAAGTATAAATTTCTATCGATTTATTCAGTGTACTTACGGAACACATTCGGTTGAGTATCATTTCTATGTTCATGTTTCTGAGAGGGAAAGAGATGGGTTAGCATTGATTAGATTTACAAAAAGAAAACACCCGCAGAAACAAACAAAAACTTTGAAAGTAAATTTCTGTGTAATCTGAACTAATTATTATTTAGTTGATGATAACGATCAGTGGAATCCACGAGGTGTATTTTATCTATCTTGGATTTGGCAGCTGGGTGTCCCTACATTCATAGTTAGTGACAGTATTCTTACTGAAACCCGACCTCAGTACCCATTGTATCCAGAGTTCAAGAGTGATCCGCTAGTTTTGAAGGATTTGTTCTAGTAGCCAATAATATAAACAGAGATCAATATAAATCAGTCAGCGAGGAATACCTCAGACTGGGTTTCGAATCCATGGCCATCCGGTTAATAGGAGAGCTCGTAGACTATTCAGTCACTGGCAGCCGATCTAGTGCCTATCAATATGGTAGCCTTAGAAGCAGTTAAGAGAGAACTAACTGCAGATCCTGAACTCACTCACAGGGACAAAGCTGTCCATTGAAGAAATTGTTTTAGGATGACACTTCCACTCACAGTGTTAGAAACAGAACATATCTCTCTCTAGCTTCTTCAAACACACACACACACATAAACTCACTAGCGAAGGGAATAAAATTCACATTTGAATTGGAAAATGAACAAGGAGAATTAACCATGATGTTAGATTGTAAAATAAAACGAATAGAAGAAGGTAAACTGCACACTAGTGTTTGTAGAAAACCAAGGTATTCTAATAGATATTTAGACTTTAATTCGTCTCATTCGTTAACTGTTAAGACAGGCTTAGTGAAGTGTCTAATAAAGGGAGCCATAGTACTAAGTGGCACAAGAAGAGACCTAAATGATAAAATGAAACAGAGAGAATAGGCTTTGGTGTTAATTAACTAACTATCTCATAAAATTCATTAGGAAGATCAGAAAAGGCCGAAAGCAAAATAAAAATAATTGTGCAACTAGTAATGATAACATAAATAAGAGAGAATATAAGTCATCCACTGTTACACCATATAAGGAGGGGACATCTGAGACCCTCCCCATGTAGGCTTCTAAATAAAGCAGGAAATAGGGTGGCATTGAAACCTAAAAACTCACTCAGGCAGTGACAAGCTCTGTAGGCCAAAAGACCCTGTGGACCCAATTAAACAAAATAATATAATTTACAAAATACCTTGCAATGACTGTGAATGAGGTCAACTACATAGGTCAAACTAATAGATCGGGGGTAGTCAGATTGTCAGAACATGACAACCTAGCTAAGGTAAGAATAGTTGATCCCGAGAAGATTAGTAATTTAGAAAAAAGTTCAGCAATCGCACTGCCTGCATTAACACACAATCACACAATAGGGTGGGTGGGAAAGAGTCAAAATTCTAAAAAGTAATCTATGTAGGTGGGAGAGAGAGAGAGAGATTGATTACTGAATCCTGACTCATCGAGTCTACACAACAAGCACGTGCAATTGGAATGACTCATCAACCATATTGTCGTATAAGGGTGCAACCACCAGTCAGTATCGTAGGCGATTAACTGTTCTTTTGCTTCACTGAGTGGACACTCCGCTAGATACGACTGCTCACTAAAACACTCGGTGAGTGCATATTGCTAAAGAGTTCAAAACTAAAAAGAAACAGCTGTGCAGTATACTCGGTGGTTTTCCAGTGGTTCTTTAACTGTTGTGAGCTCATGATTGAGCGTGTAACCACCAATCAAATTCCTGTAAATCAACACCGGAACTTTAATTATTTGTCAACACTGAGAATGATAAGGAACACATTGGATGAGTAGTAAGCATCTTTGACCCCTCTCTGTCTCTCTCTCAGGCAGCGTAAAAATCTCTTAAGAGCAGATAGACGCTTAACTGATGAATGTCAGCAAGCAGAAAGTATATAATTCTATGAGATTTTTTCAGTCGATCAGCCATCATTTTATACAGAGATCGGTTTTTGAAGAAAAAAGTCTTCTACAGTAGTGGGTTTCATCAACCAAGTGACGGCATAACTACGAAGTGTGAACTAAATCAGTAAGACTAATCAAACTGTATTGTCAGCTTTACTGGTTTTAACAATAAATCTAATCTTATGATCGAATATAGCGAAGAGAAAAACAAAACTTTGTTAAACATACTTGTCACCTCTTCATTCTCATTAACTTACTTTGTGACGTTGTAAATGTTGTATCGAGGAGCCGATTGTTACATCACTCATAAACAAGGCTACATTCATTTCCATAGGGATTAGTGACACATGGACAAAGTAATCTTACCAAACAATATAGTCAATGGTAATAACCATAATGATTTCATTGCGTATTCTTCTGTTTGAATACTCACTCTTTTAGTGTGTGTGTGTGTGTGTGTGTGTGTGTTTATTTAAACGGCGCGTACTTATAACTTCAAAATTCGTTCAATGTTCAAGTAGATTAAACGACTTCTTTCACCTTTAATCTGTTTATTTGATTAAAACAATTAAAATAAAAATTCAGTTTTTTTTATAAAAGATCAACAAATGGTCACATATTTAGATTTTTAATTTTTATATCTTCTTCGTATCTATAAGCTGACTTGTAAGTATCACTCAACTATAAGATAATGTACAAAGTTCAAGTGGGTAAATCTGCTAATCGAGTAAAACAAAAGGAGATATGGTCATTTTTCAACTATTGATTTTCAAGGATTCGACTAATTCAAAGTTAAATCATGAAGTGACTGACATAAACTAAAGAAGCATTTTAAACTAGGGAGTATTGAATACTATTGTTTCGTCCTGATATGAGAGTCTTCAACTGTTTTCCAGTTAGTTGTGTTCTCTTACCTGGTTGGCGATTTAATTGCAGAACTTATATCGTCCTTCTGGACAACATCCCCCTTCAGCGCAAGTCTCCATGAATGATAGAATTGCGTCTCCTGACAACCACCTTCGTGACTGATAGTCGATTTACATTTGTAATGATCATTTTTTATTGACTTGGATTTTAAACTTACTCGTCACATGATTTACTTTTTATTACTTGGTAGATTTGATCTATAATAACATGTTTGTTTATCGCATATTCACTTGAGTACCAAGCTTCTAGAAATTCTCTGGCACTTTTGGTGATTCCTCTGTTTAAAATTTCGACATTATCTTCTATACGGATCAGAAACTTGGCGGGTCACAAAGAATATTTCCAAAAGGCTGCAGACCTTTATTAACAACTGTCTTCGCTCAATACTGAAGATCAGATGGCCAGGCCGAAAAGAATCGCCAACAAGGAATTATGGGAACAAACAATGCAAGAACCAATCGCCCAACAAATATGCAGGAGAAAGTGGAGATGGATCGGACACTCGCTGAGGAGACCTCTGGGTGACATCGCGCGCTCACAGGCCATTGCTCGAGTGGAACCCGAAAGGGAAGCGGCGTGTGGGACGTCAGTGCAAGGGTGACATGGAGGAGATCGTGTGAAGAGGAGTTGAAAGAATATGGACTAACATGGATGCAGGCGAAAAGTATAGCAGAAGACAGAAGTGGCAAGTGGAGACATGCAGTTGAAGCCCTATGTTCCACTAGGAACCCAAGGGAGCATTAATAATAAAAAAAATTGATATGAAAGAATATATATCATATCTTTTCACAGCTAATTTGTGTTCCTGGATTCTGATTCGAAGGAGACACCCACTGTGACCTATGTAATGTTATTGCAGTTCATACAGTTTATTCTGTAAATGTATTGATTTTATCTCCTTTTTCTGTTGGATCTTTTGGTTTGCACAATATCTAATGAAGTGATGGGACTGGCTCATGTGCTATGTCTATATTAAACGGTTTCAGTATTCTAGTTTTTATTCTGGAGATATTTTTATATATGGTAAGATGAATTTTCTTGTGGTCTTTGATGATGGTTCCTTGTTGGTGTTTTGATCCGATTTTAAACACTTTTCGACGAAAATGTGAGGATAACCTTTTTTTTTGAAGACGGTTAGTAGGTGATACTTTTCCTACATTCTCTTCAACAGTGGAGTGCTACAGTGCTACAAATTTTCTCTATTACTCTTCACTTGTATTCATCCATACCCTGAATTACGGACTCTTTGCTGTAACTTTGCTGTGACTATGAGTAATTAGGGCTTTGAATTCACAGAAAATACCCATCCACACAAGAATACAAGAACAACAAAGTCCAGCGGGGAGTCTCTATTCAGCAGCGAATTCATTCACTTAGCTGTACAATCGCATTTACATATATAATTACTTTGTGTGTGTGTGTGTGTGTGTCTGTGTACATTAGGATTGTCAAACAAAGATAGAAATTAGTTACAGCCATTGCTAACGTCATTGGAATGTTTCTAAAATGTGATGAATAATCGAAATTGCAAATAAGATGGGGGCGGGGCGGGTTGAAGATTGTTAAGTATTGACAAGGGTTGCGTAATATGAAAGACACCCAGAAAAATAGGATGTTAATGAATAAGCATGGCGACAAGTGTCCAAAATAAATTATGCAACAGGTAGAAAGAGTAAATGAAGAGTTAGTTAAGAAGCTGTTACTAAAATTTCATACAAAAATTCACAAATAGTATTAGTAAGAATGTAGCAGAACTTGGAATTATACGCCAGGTGGAAGGACGGGGTGGGGATTTTTTTTTTCTGTGTCCATAAATCAGGGTTTTCTGTCCGAATCTCTGAGGCCTCGGCAGTGCAAAGTATTCAGAAGCTTACCGTACATGACTCTGAATGAATTCTTGCTAAACATTGAGGGACCAGTGTTGACTATATGTTCGATTATAGCACTCTTTATTCATCCATTGTTACCTTTTTTTAGCCAAATGGGATTATGTTCTTCGACTCTTTTAGAGAAAACACACATCGAAAGACCCATGTATCTTGCTGGCTCCACATGAGCAAGTAAACTGGGAGGTAGATTCATACAGAAGTGGTCGAATGCGATAATTCATCTTTGGAGTTGTTGAAGAACAGAGTCGGTGGGGGATTGAGAATACCAGTCGTAATGTAGCAGAAGAGAATGTTCCTCTCTGGGCGTTCGATATTCTTCTCTTTGGGATGTCTGCCATAAGGTCACCTTTGAACGCTACATTCATGTGTGGCATCTTCTTCGGCACAGAGATGGGTTCTTCTTTGTCGGTTTTCGGCTTTTATGGGTGTTTATTTATAAGGCGTGGTGGATAGCCATTCTCAAGTGCTGTCTTCCTCAAAAGAGTGATCTCTTCTTCTACTAATTTGGGTCTGTAGATTCGATGGATTCTTGTAGCAATAGATTACTATCAGTTTCCACCTGACATTGATGGGTACCCAATTGTGAAAGTTTATCAGGTGACCGTCCCATATACGCCTTCGATATATTGATCTGCTCTCAGTCCCATCAGTCTTCTTTGTTAATCAGACGTCCAGAAATGAGATTTTCTCCCCGATTTCTGCTTCAATTGTAAATTTGATGGCTGCGTGGCAGCTGTTAAAATCTTGAAGGACATTTCTTTAGGTCATATTTGTTTTTACAGATGACGAAAGTATCATCAAAACACCTTTGGTACAGAAAGAAATTGTCGATTGTTAGTTCCAACAGAATATTTTAAGGAGGCTCCTTTCGACTTTGTAGATGACTTTAAATGAATTCTCCTCACACACTGAGTGAGTAGTGTTGACTGTATGTTCAATTACAGCACTGTTTATTGATCCACTCTTACCTATTTCGTAGACAAGCGGGATATGCAGATGATATAGTCCTCCTTCTAAGGTGAAGACGCTGACAAAATACAGAGTCTTCTGAACACCTTGAGTTGCAATCTGCGAATGTTTGGCGTGCGATTCGCTCCTACCAAATGTAAGATGATGCATCCTACAGGACTGGACTACATTGACTCCTAGCTTAGAAATAAGGAATGAAGTGGCACAGCGTGTTGACTACTTCACTTATTTAGAAAGCTGTATCAGCCAATGCCAGCGGGTTGATCGCTGACGAAATCTCAGCACGGATACAGAAGGCTAGTTTCCTGCTTTATGGCTGTGAGTGAGACCTGCTCATTGGCAGTGGAAGACATGAAAAGCCTAGCTAGTTGTCTTTGATCATAGGTGCCTGAGTTCTACTTCCCGTGTGAAGTGGTATAATAGGGTAACCAATACTGAGGTTAGGGCGTCGAGTGCTAGGTGAAGAAGGGAAATCAATAGGCGAGGCTGTGAAGTTACATCGACTGAGATGGTTAGGGCATGTGTTACGCATGCCCAGCCTAGTCATCGCCTTCCTCGACTGACGGGCAATGTTAGCTAACATAGGGTCCGGTTGGAAAAGAGTTAGCCAAAGGTGATCAAACCAAAACATGGTTTCATCAGTCAATGAAATAAATCCACAGCAGTCAGTTTAAGCCAGTCACGTACGTAGGTGTAGACTTCCTGACTGATTGGGGTCCTCGGAACGGTAAAAACCAGTGAAGGCTGGTGATATGGCTCAGAATTACTCTAAGTGGCGCAGATGCATCCACTTCTTGTGACCTATAATTTCCAATAAGACTGCATTGTTCTTCTATGGTGAGAGCAGGCTGCTAGCCAATTGGTAGACATTAATTTGCGTCAATGTCCAGGTCACTAATATTGGCCGTGAGAAAATAGGAATAAGACTGATTCAACAACCAATCACAGCAGACTTAACGTGGGCAAATACGATTCGCAGATATATGGCTTAACTTTCCGAGTAACCAGTCACAAGTAGTACAGAATAACCGTGAGCGAGAAACAACCAATCAGAAGACTGTGTTTGTCTGCTTGAATAAAGCTATAATAATGTACATGAAATATATATAAATACGTGCTGATTTCCGTAATAAAACGATCTGCTGCCTGACTCTTGTCTTTTGTCGTTACACTTCAATATTAGTGCCTTCAAAGTTATCTATAGCATTCCATCGAGCATTTCGAACGGAATTCGAACTCGGCTTTTACACGTACTCGAAGCTATCGGAATTTGAGAGAGCAATCCTAGTCTTTGCATACAACAAAAGAAGTTTGTTCTTCCTTGGCCAAAGTGAATTCTATTCAACCCCCCCACCCTTTCTTATTCTCCATCTCCTTCGTACTTTTATGATATTTACTTAAGCTCTGATTGTCTCTCCACTTCACCCACCTTTAGTATTGCGTAACTTCTAAGATTTGACCTAATTTATTTATTGAATTGTCTACATATACATAGATTTTTACCTTTGTTATTCTTATCACCACCTGCATAAACCTTATCATGAATATTTTGTTACCATTACAATCATAGTCATTAATTTACCACATTATTATTATTATTATCATTATTATTATTGTTATTATTGTAACTTGATCCACAAACTCACCACCATTGGTTAAATTCTTTTATATATATGAAGCTGTGTGCGTTGGTGGTACAGTGGTTAGGATTCTTGCCGACCATGCACATGGTATGGGGATCGATTCCCTGCCAACGCTCACCAGATATCAATGGTCAGCCTGCAAACTTTGGCCTACCAATATCGCATTTTGAGTATCCATACTTGCACCGAAAATACAGTATGGAATCAAGCTGTAATCAAAAATAAAAAACTAAATGTAACTTAAAGTAAAGCCTGAAGAAGATATAATTGAAAACAAGATTGTTCGCTTATATGTCTTGTTTTGTTTATTGTCTGTATTTTTGCATTTCTTACACTTTCTTCTCTTGTTTTGTGTGCTAAAAGGAGGGAGTGTGGCGACTCGAACTGCTGCACATCTGTGCAAAGTTCTATGTTTAAAACAGGCGGCTAAGCAAGATGATGTTCTTTTAGTCTTTTGGACGAAACACTCATCAAACGACCTACATATGAAGGTTTTTGCCTAGAAATGTGTCATTTCATCGAGGTAAATTAGTAGTATCAATGTTAAACACACAATAAACTAACTAACTAACTAACTAACTAACTAACTAACACTGAACTAACTAACTAACTAACTAACTAACTAACTAACTAACTAACTAACTAACTAACTAACTAACTAACTAACTAACTAACTAACTAACTAACCAACTAACTAACTAACTAACTAACTAACTAACCAACTAACTAACTAACTAACTAACTGACTAACTAACTAACTAACTAACTAACTAAATAACCAACTAACTAACTAACTAACCAACTAACTAACTAACTAACCAACTAACTAACTAACTAACCAACTAACTAACTAACTAACTAACTAACTAACTAACTAACTAACTAAATAACTAACTAACTAACTAACTAACCAACTAACTAACTAACTAACTAACTAACTAACTGACTAACTAACTAACTAACTAACTAAATAACCAACTAACTAACTAAATAACCAACTAACTAACTAACTAACTAACTAACTAACTAACTAACTAACCAACTAACTAACTAAATAACTAACTAACTAACTAAATAACTAACTAACTAACTAACCAACTAACTAACTAACTAACCAACTAACTAACTAACACAGGAATTAATAACTTAAAAGAATCTTTACAACTTTTGTTTAAGTTATTTACTCCATTAGTTATCAATACCAATTGTTATTAGCGCCGTAAAATTATAATAAAAGGAAATGAAGTATTTGCAGATGGCGCTATTAATTGTTTTAAATTGTTTTTTCTCTCAGATTATTCAAGGTGACTCTGTTACACGCATACACACACACACACAAACACACCTGATACCTTTCTTTCTTTACAAATAAACAATGAGGATCTTTGCTTCAGGTCATTCAAGTCACACCTTAGAAGATTACAAAAAGAAAACGATTAATTTTAATTATTTTTTTTGCAATATATAAATACATAGAATCTTCTCTTGGTCATTGTTAGTAAATTCAACCAGAAGACTCATAAAGAAGCCTTTCAGTATCTCTTTTTTCATTAAAATATGGATCTATATGATAATTGAATGCATTTCTTCTCATCTATTGAAGATGAAAAAATCTCAAGAGATTCTATTTCCTGCTTATAAACGAAATCCTGGTAAGTTTTCATCACTTTACTGTGTCTTGGATATATTGCTTTGATGATGGGAAGTATTAGGAGAATTTTATTTTGATAAAGTCTCACAGGGTGCTTGTTAGACAGTAATATTAACTGATGACCACATTTCCAGGACAAATTATTGCCACTCATAATCACATCAAGTCACTCACTCACACAACTTTCTTCCTTCATTTATATACATGAGTCAAATTGATAATTGGACATTCGATTGAATAAAATTCAGTTTAGGATAATGTACATTCAGAAATAATAATAATATGAGTGTTATTGATCAATTACAATCAGATGGGAAATAAGACGAGTGTTTTTATAGTCAAAATAAATAACTAACTTGTTAGAACGTTGTGATGTATGTGAATTGAATTGAAATAGAATACAATTTAAGATTATTTATTATCCTGCTCTGACTGACTGGTGGTAATAATATCTTCCATGCACATCTCTGGTATTTGCATTTGAGTCATTTCTGTTGCATGTGTTGGATGTGTAGACTCAATGAACCAGGAAGGATTAAGTAATCAGTCTCTCTCGCTCTCTCCAACTACCTATATTACTTCTCAGGATTTTAACCCTTTCCCACCCTAATATTGTGTGGTTGTGTGTTAATGCATGCAGTGCGATTGCTGAGCTTTTTTCTAAATCACTCATCTTCGCCGGTGGGGTAAACCATTCTTACCTTAGCTAAATTCTTATGTTCCGAAAATCTAATTACCCCCGAACTACTAATTTGACCTATATAGTTGACCTCACAGTCATTGGAAGGTGTTTTGTAAATTGTATTATTTTGTTTAATTGAGTCCACCAGGTCTTTGAGCCTACAGAGCTTGTTCTTGCCTGAGTGAGCTTGTAGGTTTGAATGCCACCGCACTAATTCCTGCCTTACTGAGAATTCTACGTAGGGTCTCAGATGTCGCTTCCCTCCTTATATGGTATCACTGTAGATGCCTTATATTCTTCCTTATTTATGTTATCATCATTAGTAAAAAGTTGTCTGAGTGAATTGATATGATTATGAGCAGTAATAATTTGTGTTCAAAAGTTGGTCATCAGTTAATATGACTGTATAACCCCACTGTGTGATTTATCAAATTAAAATCTTATCTATAATGCAGTTATACTCTACCACCACAGTGTCCAAGTTTTATACTTATATCAGTGCATTTCATCCTGTTTGGGACCCATCCGTCTGGAAGCACCCACGCTAAAAGTGAATGATGGTGGTGGTATTCCCACAGAGGGACTTAAACCTAACGCTTATAGCCTGAAAAGCTAAATCCTTTCACTAGACATGTTATGATGTATGTCACGAGTGTGTTATGGATCTGTCGCTAATCAATGTGATCTCATTAATCTCGTTGGTTTGACCGAGTGGACTAATGCGTGGGTATAGTCATACTGACGCAACGAACGACTCAATTTTGAAAAAAATAGAAAAGATTTGTAGCTCAGGTGGATCATTTGCAATTAATAGTGTTCTCTGAGCAGCTGGTTGGCGATTTAATTGTGGAGCTTTCGTCGTCCATCTGCACAACATCCTCATTCAGAGCAATATTTTGCATAAAGTGAAATGATTTAAATTTCTTCATGAATGATATAATTACGTCTCCCGGTAACCATCTTTACACATGTATTGATCATTTTCTTTTGACTTGGATTTTGAACTTTCTGTTCACCTGGTTTACTTTTTATTGGTTGGTATATTTCATCTATATTAACGTGTTTTCTCAATCGCTTGCTGATTCGTTTGAGTACCAGGCTTCTAGGAATTCCTTGACTGCACTTTTGGTGTTTCCTCTGTCGAAGATTTCGACATTATCCCAGTTTTACGAGTTGATCACGGATTGATATCAGTTAGAGAACCATTGGAAACCAGGGAGAACTGGACAGCTGCTGTTTCATCCTAGTTTGGGAATCATCGGCAGTACGCACCCACTGGGTTTCGAACCCACGACCTTCCGGTTACAAGGCAAGCTCGTATACCATTCAGCCACTGGGACCCGATTCAATGGCTCGTGAATTCTAACTTCTACCAATTCGTGATTTAGCGCGACCCCAACCATTGTCGTTGGTGGGACATCCATCCACACACGTGACATCTAATTGGACCTCACTGGTCACGACTTCTCACTAGAACTCAGGAAACTCCAACCTGTAGCAAGTCACTAGCGAGCATCAGATTAACTTTCTATAGTTTTGGTTTGTAAGGATTAGTTATGTTTTACGAGTTGAATCAGGTCCCAGTGGCTGAATGGTATACGAGCTTGCCTTGTAACCGGAAGGTCGTGGGTTCGAAACCCAGTGGGTGCGTACTGCCGATGATTCCCAAACTAGGATGAAACAGCAGCTGTCCAGTACTCCCTGGTTTTCAATGGTTCTCTAACTGATATCAATCCGTGATCAACTCGTAAAACATAACTAATCCTTACAAACCAAAACTATAGAAAATTATCCCAGTTATCAAACTGATATCCATAATTGTATGTATGCATTGATATGAACAAGGGGAATATATACATCATATCTTTTCACGGCTGATTTGTGTTCCTGGATTCTGATTGGAAGGGAACGCCCGCTCTGGCCGATGTAATGCCTGTTACGGTTCATACAATTTATTTTGTAAATGGTGTTAATTTGATCTCCATTTTCTGTTGGATTTTTCGGTTTACATAATATCAAATTAAGTGATTTTGGCTGGCTGGCTGGCTGGCTTGTGTACTATATCTATATCAAACGGTTTCAGTATTCTAGCTGTTATTTCAGAGATATTTCTCATTTATGTTAGGATGAATTTTCTTGTGGTCTGGATGGATGATGGTTCTTTGTTGGTGTTGTGATTTGGTTTTAAACACTTTTTGATGAAAATTTTGTGGATAACCATTCTTTTTGAAGACCGTTGTTAGTAGGTATTTTTCTTGCATTCTTCTCAACTCTGGATTGCTTCAGTGTGTTTGAACTCTCTTTTAAACAATGTCTGTACACAGTTTCGTTTGTGATTAATCAGATTATTGATAGTATAGATATCGTATGCTAGATACGCTAATATTCTTCTCCGGTACCTTCTGCTTCATTGATCTACTTAACTATCAAAAGACGAAGATGAACCTGTGACTGGCCTGTTAGGATGCAATTTTTATTCAGAAAAATACGTGATATTTCTATATTTTCTAACCACACTAAAATCGGCCCAGGGCAGTGGAAATAGATTAATCTAATCGATAAGTGATTTGATTAAGGTAGACGACTAATAAATATTCTTATTGGTTGGCCATTTGACTAAGATCAAGCTGCGAAAGAAGATGAGAAAATTTTACAGTATTCTGATCAGATGATGAGTAGTCATAAGGTGAATACTATTTTAGATTTGTTTTTACGAGTTGATCACGGATTGATAACAATTAGAGAACCATTGAAATCCAGCATTGGAGTAGTGGACAGCTGTTTCATTTTAGTTTGGGAATCATTGGTACTACACACGTACTGAGGTTCGAACCGAGGATCAAGGTAAGCTGACTCGTATACCATTCAGACACTGGGACAAGCTTCACTAGCTAGCTCATGAATTATAACTTCTGCTAATTTGTGATTAAGTGTAACCACCAACCAGTGTCATGTGTGGGGATCTCCATCCTCACACTTGACTGGATGGATCTCACTGGTCACAACTTCCCTAGGAAACCATTTTAATTTGATTCCTATCAGGACAATAATTAGTAACTGGTACCACGCGCCTAATCTGTTGTTTGGAACAGATTGAATTCTATCAGTCACATTTGCAGTGTGAGCACTGTGCTAGGTAGCTCGCTATCACAGTGCCCTCTGAATTGTTCTTCGTAGATTGTTGGAGGCAATTAGCAGAAAGCCTTGAACCTAGATTTCGTGCTTTTTGGCACTTACCGCTCAATCAGCAAGACGTGTCTACAACCTTGACGGAACTCATACCCCTTGTGGGGTTCGAACCCATGTCAACTAGTGCTGTAGTCAGAGATGTTACGAGTGAGCTATCGGGATTCACGATTGATCATGTGTAGGACTACACTAGGTACTTTGATTAGATACTAGTAAGTACCCAGTGTCATGTATCAGAGGTGATGCAAATTCGAATCGCAGAAGGGATACGAGTCCCTTTAAGGTCTCAGATACACCCTACTGACTGCTGAGTGCCTACAATCATGAAGCCTAGGTTCAGAATTTCCTTTTGGATTGCCTTCAGCCATCGGATATTAACACCAAATCGTTCGTTATCCAGAGTTACGAGAGGTACTTCTAATTCAACTGTTAGATATTTAAGTTGATTTTCATTTCCCGTTGACTGACTCCCACTCTCTATGAATGAAGGTACATCCATCTGCAGAGTCCCAAATAGGACTTATAGGGCATCCTAAATTCTACTTCTAGCCTCTGTCAACCAAAGAGAATTACGTCTAAGCTTCACCTAGTTTCTGTGCTAATTGTCTCTAACTATTTAAATTATTCCCAATGCATACGTTATCAGTAATTTTGTCTATACGCCTACTGTGATTGGAGATAAAGATATGTACAATGAATAGATTTTACTACATCTCTTCTTATTTGAGACCCTTCAGTGGCATTGACATTTATAACAAGCTAGAGGACCAAACTGCTACTTCTGCGGATGTTATTGAGTTTGAAAACCTTCTAAAATCATATAAGCTAGCTCAGAGACTGTTTTAAGTATAATTTTCATAGTTTAGTTTTATGCTGCATGAGGAATAATCAGTAGGTATGTTGTCTTACACTGAACAAAAGAGTGAAGAGGAGTGCCAGGGGAGACAAAAGAAAATATTATGAAACCATGGCAAACGAAGCAGAACAAGCTGCAGGCAAAGGAGACCTCGCCACACTCTACCAAGCAACTAGGAACCTTTCGGGCAAACGTTCGACACAGATTAAGCCAATAAAGGACGACAATGGAAAGTCAATCACCAAAGAGGTGGAACAGAGAAAGCACTGGGCTG